AATTTTAGTAGCAACAATCTGATTATAATGTTTTTCACATATTGAATAATTTTCCAAAGAATCAATTAATGAAGTGAAGGTAATTTTATAAATGGTTTAAATGCCCTTTACCGCATTCCCTGATGCTTGTCTCCAATATCGATTGCTTGTAGTACTAGGAAGTGGTCTCTGCATTTCGACTAAAGGTTAAAAAAAAAAAAAAAAATAAAACAAGAAAGAAATGAGATTTAACTCCTATATAGCACATGAATTTTCCAGACAATTGTTATATATCATAACATAACAAAATTTTTTTTTTTAAAAAATTTCAAGAACATGTCTGCACCTGCTTTTATAGCCTTTTATTATGTCACCGCGATTGAAAGTTGGACGTATATTAATATAATAGAATATTACCGTGCAAAAATTGAACAAAAGGATTTAAAACAAATACTAGATCGTGTAAAAAAGGATCTTCAAGTGGTGGCAAATCCTAATTCTGATTTTGACGTGGCGAGCAAAGAAAAAGCTCAAGAAATCCTTGATGACTGAAAGGTACGTTCATTTAATGGGACGGGGTTTGAATGAAAATAGGATAAGTTTCGTAAATCAATTAGCAAGGGTTAAAAGCTTAATCTGAACTGCTAGTTCGACACTTAGTGCAAGCTGGGACTGCTAGTCTAACAAGGATGTGCTCTTAATTCAATGCTTCTTTGCACTTTATTGTTATTGTAGAATTTTTTTTTTAAATATTACTAATTCTGTGTTTTGTTTGCCAAGAATTTTACTACATCAAAGAATAATTTGAAAAAAGATTTGAAATATGCACATGTGAATATTCAGCACTTACAGGTGGGCCTCTAATCTGAAAATTCATAAGACAAAAAAAAAATACTGAATAGCATTTTGTTGTTTAGATGAGGCAACAGGTTCTTGCAACCAGAGATAATATGATACACAACATTGATAATAGTTGTACAACTTTGAGAAATCATCAAGATGTAGATAATATAGAGGAAATAATGGATACCAAAAGTGCTAAAACTCTGATGATGAAAAAGGTGAGATTATAATGACTTTCAAAATTGCTTAGGTGACAAATAATAAACATGTTCAATACACCAGAATAAAGTTGGAAATATACATGCAGCCCAAATTGGTTTGGTGATTTCAATGGTCAAAAGTATTCCAATTTTGATGGTAGAAAGTAGAAATTAATTACGGCACTCACTATTAAAAACATAAGTGTAACACCCCTTTACTACATGTGTAACCCCCTTTATGACAATGTCAAAATACTTTGGGCTGCATGTATACACTGTATATATATTGATACTAACTTTAACATTTCCAAAAATAGAAAAATGCTGGGGAAAACTATATAATAGAAGGTGTAAAGGTTCTCAATGAGGCAAGGTTCAGCAGCTCAGGTGAAGTTATTTCTGCTGTAAATCAACAAAAATGAAATAATGACAATAGTGATGATGTTCATAATAGTCAAGTAAATATATATCATATTGAATCATATATAAAGCAAAAATGTTAATGAATTGTTAAATATCATTCATTTATTTGATGCTCATTTAGAGAATATATAAAAGGGTAATGTTGTCTGTGGTTTTTAAATTAAAAGAAATGAAAAAACTCATATATTTTTCTATATTCAGTTAAAGAATATTATTCCCTTGATTTATATCCAATTGATGGTGAAAATGATGGCAATGAAATTGATGACAAAGGAGATGAACTTCTGGAACTAAATGTGTTCACAGATTTTACCACTGTGGATAAATGGAACCTGACTGAAAATAAGGCTGTTAATGAGATATTTTAAAAAAATATTTCAGATCATGCCCATTCAACAAAAAGCATTGACTCCTGCAGTAAGAGCAATTTTAAGGTATGGTGCCTCAAGAATTATAGACCTTTCATCCCACATGAATAAATGGTTCACTTTAGAACATCAGGAAATTTTTTCTGATGTGGATTTACATAATTATTACACTATTTACATAAGTTTATGGTGGGCCCTGTAATATTATGCAAAAATCATGCAATTATTACATTGAGTGTAAATATTACATAATTTTTTATGCAAATATTACAACTTTCATATTAAAATTTATAAACATAATATTACAACAGGGAAAATTTCCTGATGAAGAAAGCAAATTTATGGTAAAAGACTACAAATGGATGTTAAAGATTCCAGAATTATCGGATGAAAGCAATAAATTCATAAGTAAAGTTGAAGAGGTAGATATGTTCTTAAGATTCCTTAATGCTATTCATTATTTATTTGTTTTTTTACTATACACATTCATATTTTTATCAAAATAAAGATGATAAAAACTGGTAACAAAACTCAAACATATAAATATTGCTTAAAAGAACATATGGATTCACAATCATATAGCTGTTTATATAAAATCACTAAGATCTATTCTGACTTGTAAGTGAATATGAATGTCCTTGTTTATTTGAAAGCTTTGACTTATTTTACTTTTATTGTGCACAGTTTATGAGACATTGAATAGCAATGATATGTTAGCTAAAGATTATACAGAATGTGACATTATTATCAAAACTTTTTCTTATCTGATAAAGACACTAGAAATGAATCAACCAATTAATCAGAAATGGTAACAAAGTGTATAAATTTCAAAAAAATTTTTTTTTTGCATCTTGAACTTTCACAAATCACTTAAATTATTGTAAAATAGTAAATTATAAACCACGGGAAACGAACATATAAATCGGAAATGATTTACGAAGTTACTATTACACGCAAATAAAATCGGAAAAACTGATCAAGTGATCAATTTATTCGAACACCAATAAAATAATTGACTCACGGAAATATTGTAAATATAAATATTCCAGCATTCTAAAATGTAACGGATTACAAAGTCTCAGAATAATATTTAAACGAAAGAATTTTACATGACTCATGTTGACTAGAAATTACTTGAAAATAATTCTACATGGAAGGTTTAAATAATGATTAAAGAATACATTAATTAGTATAATTTAGGATTTTAAAGAAATCGGAGAACTAGATGATAGAACCTCTAAAATGTATAAATACGTTGTAAGTTTCTCTTTCATGTAATCTTTAGTTTATTAGTTAGTTTTATTAACTCAAAGTTTTTTAGTAAACTCAAATATTATTATAATAAATAAACCTTGACCTTGTCATTGTCATTGTCCTTGTTAACTTCAAACATTATATTTTTGAAATGATAATAAAACTATCCCTAACGACGAATTATACTAATCCCGTGCATAATTATTTTCTTTTAATTTTATTTTCTTTATTTTTATCTAGATTAGGCAAACGCCTAAATAGTGGAAATCCTAGCTAGGTGAGGTCAGTTAAGAGACTGAGCCATAAATATAATAATCAGTGTAGAAAGTATCACGGCGGATACTTCAGATATTATAAATATCATTGAGACGTGCCGGCTCAGGCAGATAACAAAGAACTGCTGAGAAAACGTTACCGGAAGGGAAGTAAGGAAACTTGCCCTGTAAATAATTAAATAGCTTGAGCGCTATAGTGAAAGAAAGTAATCAAAGAATTAAATAATTGGATACTGTCGTAAGAAGGGATAAATAATATTTTAACCAAAACCAAGAGATTTGTGTGAGACGCGGATTTTGATCTCACAACACTTCTAATAATTTGTGAAACAACTGCAAAAATTTGCCGATCATTAATATGTTTTTGTGGCAATAATAAACGTAATCAACGTGAGTCAAATTTTTTTTTATTTTAAATAGAAATAACCCATTTATATTTTCTTGGATAGAATTAATTCTACAACCATTTTTACATCATAAATAAACCTTAAATTTTATATAATAATTTTAGGCGATTCCTACATATAAACATAAAATATTTTATAAGAAAGTCCCTTTGAAATTTTGTATATTTAAACTTCGAGATTCATATCATGTGTTAAAAGTACAAATTAGTTTATATCAACATAAAGAGTGGTTACGTTGGGGTGAAAGTTGGAGTCCAGAAAATTTTAATTAGTTTCACGGATCACGATTAATAATTTGTTTATATCGTGATAAAGAGTTTATAATTACTCATCACTATAGTAGAAATAGTAGTAATAATAGATCTATTAATAGAAACAATAATGAGGATAACAACAACAACACTAATAATAATAATAATACTAGTACTGGCAATAGTAATAGTAGCAATATAAATAGAAGTGAAATTTTAACAAATTATTATGTAAACATATGTACTGAAAACCTAATTTTATTTAATAAAAAGAGTGTAATTGAGCTATGGCGATGCCATGGATCAGTAGGTCTGGACCGCCATATCCATTCAAGGTGGCAGGTCACAGTTTTGGGTAGTGGGTCACACCACCATCCATGACTGAATCAATCATTAACCCATTCCAAGAATGGCATGATCATCATAAAATGTTTGGTCAACCTCCTCGCTCAGCAAAAAAAATAATAATAATCACTATATTGTAAAAGACTATAAATTTTGTTCCATGTTTATATATAAGATACTTGGCTATTAACAAACTTATCTTCTTCAAATAATGATTCATTAACAAATGCCTGCCTAGCCTTTCTTGTCTTGGACTAATTAATTGTTTTTCAAAAAAAAAAAAGCACATAATTAACGTTAAGATAAAAATGGATTAAAAGTTTGTGGTTCATTATAAAAATCTTATCAATATTGACAGGGAAAAAGTGCTGTATTTAAAATAAAATAAACAAAATAAACTATATTAACATCATTAAAGCTTTTAAACGAATATTTCCTTATATTAAGAGAATTCTCTGTATAAAGTTATGACTTTGATTGGCGACTGAATGTAAAATATATTACATGGTTATCACTGTACTTTATTGGTGTGTTGGTTAATAAATTTTAAACTGTTTTAATAGCATCAAGAAACCTAAGAGAAGAACGAAATTTCAAAATGAAAAATTGAATACAATGACTTTTTTATTATAAAATACTACATAGAGAGTAGAAAAATATTACTGTATTTTTATAAAAATGCAAGATTTTAATTCTAATTATTATCTTATAATTAAAGGTATTCACCAATTGAAATGTTTTATTTATTAGAGTTTGGCGATTGGATATTATCAGTTATGATAATTACCAATTAATCCACATGGATGTGTAAAGTAATCGGAGGATATGTAGCAACCAACACTTTCAAAATACTAATTTGTAATTATTCCACAATTTATTCCCTCTTGAAATAAACGACAGTGATTTCTTTTCCGATTGCCCTAATCATATTTATATGCTGCGTAGTAAGAATTGTTGAAAGATAACTTCTAATAAAGTCAAACCTCGTTTCAACGAATTACAATTGAGTTCGTGTTATAACGAATTTTAAATGTGCCCCATAGATTAGTTCGACTATTTCAACTGATTATATTCTATTTATTTACCTAGTATCAAATCTTCTATTTCTTCCTTTAAAGGAAGGATAATCACCAGCATTCTTTCATAATGTTGAATAGTGACTTTTTAACTAGTTCTATTTTCTTCCGGCATCGGAATGAAAATATTCGTTTTAATAGATACGAAATAAGTTCCTTTTTTCACTGATATCTTGATATCCAAATAAGCAATCAATTGGGTTTTAAAAGCGCCTTTATCCCTGTTTTGATTGTTGGTATAATTGCTGGTTGGAGATTCTTTTGTGTCATATTTGTTTTGATAATTCCTTGATAACGTACATACTTTGACATTCGATGTTGACCACATTGCCAAATTGTTTATAACTATCATGGTCATGCGCTGCTAATATGAAGTTTTCAGGGAATGATTTAATCTTGCTACTTTGCTACCAAATCAGGAAATATTTGTGATTTTTACAACGAATTCCTGATTCTTGACAGAACAGAATTGTATTCATTGTTATTATTATTGGTTGTTTGTCATTCTAGCACTATTATTTCCACAGTCTAAAATAATTTGAACGATAAGAAAATTTTGACATAATTCTTGAAATATGAATTTCATTAATAACAATTATTTACAATTAATCTATTATGTAATTCTTGTAATTACCAAAGTGCTCACAGGTGTACCTTAATCATTTTTTCACCTTCTACTTTTATTATGACAAAGTCTTGCTGTTTTCCATTGTTGCCCAACTCCCAAATCTTTGATCAGCAACTAAACATGGTTTTTTCTTCTTCGCTGGAATCAAGACTCTTTGAGTTTCATAAAGCTCGCTGCCATCTAAAAGTTTAATATTTTCTGGATGAAGCTAGAATATCGATGTCATATAATTCGTGATAAAGAGTATTAATGGAGAACAATGAAAATATATAATTCTAGATGAATATTTATGTTTTAATTTAAAATTAACGTTTATTGTTACATAGTAATGGGTAAACTCGATAAAGCAAACATTTATTATATTCTAAACAATTGATTAAAGTGATTTATCGAGTTTACCTGTGTATTATATTTATTGTAAAGAGTGTAAAATGAATTTAGTGGTTATATATATATATAAATAAAGGGGGGGGGCTGTTTTAACAACCCTTTTATAACTTTATTTAAGAAGATTGATTGATTTTCTTTTTGATTTGTCGGGAGTATAGAATTGATCTTTGATAGGATATAGTAAAACATTTAATTTAGGAGTGACAACTATACAAGTATTTGATGGTATAGTCAACCAATCCGTCTTTTCAAATGTCAAAGGTTCTAGAATATAAAAAGTTGTGATTTTTAAAATAAAATTATTATTTATTTATTTATTTATTTACATGATAGCATATTATTAATTTACCTGATGCTATCAGTACAATGTCTTCTCTTTTATCAGCTTTAAACTAAAATTCATGATTGATTAGTTAATTAGTAAAATCTCAATAGAATATATAAGTGTACAACTATACCATTTTATAATGTCCAGGCTTATATTCCATAAAACTTGTCCCTACAATATTTATAACAAACGATGTTATTATCATATCATTAATTATGTAGTTGTTGTAATGAGATACAGATAAAGTTTACCAGATGAGAAATACAACGAGGCAGCTTCTCTCGTCTGACAATTGATGTAGCGAGTGCAAACAACAGAACATCCATCTGTCACAGCAAAATTCAACAAGGATGGTTCCTAATATTTAGTCGGATGATTATTAAGAGATTTGAATTATTAAATTATCTAATAAATAAACTAGATATCGAATACAATTAATTATCCATACATTGATTCCTTCTTCTTCAGCCCAAATATTTAATTGTTGAATCGTTTTTAACATTGCACTTCTCAAAATTTCATGGCTAAACGGTCCATTCTTTGGATCTGATAACTATCATCATCGTTGTTGGTTTGTTGTTGTTGTTGTTATTATTATTATTATTATTATTATTATAGTGATAAATTAATAAGTAGGGATTTTAATAATTAGAGAATTTGTTTGTCAATCATCTCCTACCCTACTATTTATTCTCCTTTACTCATCCTCTAAATTCCAAAAACTAACCTGATTTAGAAATAATGCAAAGGCCCATTCCGAGTCAGTGTTTCCTTGGACAAATAAAAAAATATCTTCTTTTAAAGATTGAACTAATTTTCTTTTAATCTATTAATAAAAAATAACGTCTGATTGTGAGTTTAATCGAGATAAGCCAATTAACTTGTTTAGAGTCGATTAATTATACTACACTGTGTGACTAATCAATCAGTTAACCAACCAACCGACCAACCAATAAATTACCTTGTAGAAATCTTGAATGTGACCATTGTGCATCCACATCAAACTTTCATACTGCCATGGATGACCTTTTAAGTTATAATCATAATAATAATTAATAATTAGATATCTATAACAATCGAGCACAAGAAACTAATAATAAAATTGCATACAATTAGTTTCTGATAAAGCACCAGAATTAGAAGCTCTGACATGTGCAAATACTAAATGACTCTTTATTTTTTCAGCTAATCTTGATAAATTCTTGTTGTTCCATGCAGGTGTGACAGATGAAAATATACAAGGTGATTCGGTCTGTTCTGATTCTTGATTATTAGATTCATACCAACCTTAAATTGTAATACGAATTAGATAAAGTACAAATTAGAGAAAGTGTTTGATAAAAGTGAATAATAATAATAATAGTAATAATAATAACAGTAATAATAACAGTAATAATAATAATAATTATAATTATTATTATTATTATTATTATTGTTATTATTATTATTTTGAATTTTCCAAAATTTCTTAATTTTACCTACACCAAATCCATCACCTAAAATAATAATAAAAAATTAATATATATGTGATTATTATATAATATAAACAATCATCATCGTACAGATTACTACCGTTGAGCCTCGATTCAATTCTTAACCTTGAGTCAAAAGATTGATTAATTATAGAATGTGCTGGTCTAGTAATTAGCTATAAATACATTTTTATTATTATTTATTTAAAAGGAAAGTAAGTATATATTAGTAGAATGACCTACATGTGCTAATTTAATTGAAGCCTTTCCTTTATAAATTAGAAGCCTACACATTATTATTATTTCAAATTAACAATATTTGCGATATTCGTAATATTTAATATTATTTCAAAAAAATTTGCAATATTCGCAATATTTCGCAATATTCGCAATATTAATATTGTTATTTTGTTCATACAGTTTCTATGTTCATAAATGTTTCCCAAATTCGAACCCCTTGTCGATCAATTCATATGTTAACGTTCTAGGCTACATTTTTTTATAATAAACAATCATTGAAATAAGTATAATCAATTAATCAAACTTACTTTTTTTTCTTTTGCTCAACGCATATTTTGGTGGAAAATCTATGTACCAGAATCTAAATTCGATGACTTTTATTTCTTGACTTTTAGTGAAGATCATCCGCTAGTATTTTACCTTATTTGCTTCATTCGCCGCACATATACAGAGAGCAATGCGCTCCTAAAAGTGAACAACATATTAGACGAAAACATATTAGGCACGAGATAATCAGTAGATAAAATAAAGATCACGAAAAACCATTTATTATTACAAAGTACTTTTAGTAACCGAATCTTTATATAATTTAATTGTTCAATAATTATCTGACTTGCTATTGATTACTTACTGCACAGAAGAAATTTAGGAGGGGAATTGTAGTAGTAGTAATAATAACATCTTGGCAGTGGATTTAAGTGCATTATCTGAGTGATATCTAGAAAACTGATTTTGAAATCATCATTATTAAGCAAATTTCATTGTAATGAAAGTTTTTAGCTTAGAAACCATTTTATTTGGCAAATTCAATCTGGAGTTGTATACATGGATAGGTTTGTCCGAAATTGTCTAATTCTCAACATTCTTTATATGAATGAACATAAAATAACCATGCTGTTTGATTATTAAAGAATTCAAATAATCATTATTGAAAACTTCGATGATGATTAAAACCCATTATCATTGATTGGAACGAAAACATTTTGGTGCCCTAATTAAGTGTAACATAATGTCGATTAATGAATGAACTAATAATAATAAAGGGAATTTGATCAAAAAAATTTTATATATAAAGACAAACTTTATAACCAAATGAGATAGGACAAAAGGTTTTTTCTATAGATTTATTATTATTATAGAAGACTCGAGCAATAAAACTATATATAAAAAATTTTGTTTAATTTTATTATGAAAAAATAGGTTTAAAGTTATTCGATTTATTATCAAATTCTTAATATTAATATCAAAGAATAAAATTAATTGATAAATTTCTCCTTTATCTTTATCTATATTCCACCCAGGATTCGCTTACCAATACATATTAATAATTAATAATGAAAAGTTGATCACCAAAAATCCGCACATTATATTAATATTAAACATATGTTTGATGATCAATAACCACTTTGGATCGTGATTTTTCATCGATTTTCTAGATGTAAGTTTTTATTATGAGAATCTATGAAAGTATTGTAAATTTGACAAACTATAAGGTTTCATATATAATCAACCTGTCTGTATAACTATTATCTCGTGTAACCTCGTTTATGTCATTTTTTTATAAATTATATTAAAAACACAATTGTTTGAAATGAGTAGTATTTAATAGCAATAATTATTTCTGAATATTAATAATAATATTTAAATTTATTATAATTGCTTGATTTTTTAAATGGTAACATAATATTTGAAAATATCATTGAATGCATCATTATTCATCAAGTCACATGTATTATCTGTTTCGGTAGTAACTGGGTTGGTTTTACTTGTAACATTTACTGATTTTGAATCATTATCTGAAATATCTGGAAGGTTAAATTTAGCTATAGTAATCCTTTGATTTTCATTTTGCGATCTATAACAATTAAGTCCAGTAATAGAACGATGTAAAGTTATGTTCAAATTAGGTTCCTATAATAAATATAAAAATATATATTACAAATTAAAAAATCATCCATTTAAAATATTAAAATTACCATTATTATTTTGTGAGTTTAGAATGGTTTTTTTGTAATGGAAAAAGTTACGCATAAAAATGACATAAATGGTGGGGGGTAACCATTAATTATGTGGGTATACTGTAACAAAACCAGACAAAGTGAACATTATGTCACAGAGGATTGATTATAGATTTACTTCTTGTCCTTGTTTGATGTCTTTTCTTTCCTTAGGGGGTAGTTTACAAAAGTAAAAAAACTATGCCATGTTAATTATTTTCAACCCAATAATATTTTCTTGAAGGAAAATAAGCAAAAAAATCCTAAACGCTTGTTTAATAAGAGAAAGATAGGATCTTTTGTCCATGAGTCACCTGAAGAGAAAAAAGAAATTGCTGTCTTCACCATCAAAAATTTCTACCAGTGAGAACAAACCGAGAAAAAAAAAATAAGAGAAGTAATTCAGGGGTCGGTTGGAAAAGAAAAGAATAAAGAGATGAAGGAAGAGAAGGAGGAAGATAATGAAAAGATAATTTCGGATTTTTGGTGTGATAAGATCCTATTCATTTTTACGCATTCATATCTAGAGTCACGATTTCTGATAGTTTCTGGTCTAATTGATTACATCATTAACTTGCCCATCTACAGAAAGCAAAGATTCGATTTTGAATCTTTTTGATTGTTTCGTTTAGCTTGTTGTCTCACTAAAGCACTTCCTGATTGAATCTGTTTGTTACAACATTTCATTTATTTAATTATCAATATCTCAATCTCTGCTTCAATGATTTAATTTCAGCTGGATCGGTTCATTGTCAAATTTACAACCTTTAAGCACAAAATGATCCAATGTTAGAATAATTACTTTGAATGCCTCGGAAAAATTCTGATAGTGGTCATTCTCTCAACGCGCTTTTATATATCATAATAATAAATGTAACAAGATTATTTTTTTCATACCCATCAATACAATCATCAATAGAACTATCACCACTATTACTACAAAAAATTGATTGTTGATCAATTTTTGGAATCTGCTATAAAAATAGAAATATATATTGCTTGTGTCTTGATATATATATATATATATATATAACACATGCAAGTATATAAATTATTTACCATGGTAATAGTCAATGATTCATTATCACTCCGTTAACCCGTTCTCCTTTTGTTTTTGATCTAACGGTAATTGACATAGTTGGCAAATTAATACTGTTACTTGATAGTAAATTCAGAATTCTCTTGGTGTGCGTGGTGAAGCTTGCTTAAAAAATTTATCTGTGCAAAGTTTTCCGTTTTTTATTTGTGATACTAACTATACGAATAAAGTCAACATTCTGTCAAACAAAGTCTATGAAGTTGTTGTACGTGAAAATGAAATTATGTGGATTCGCAATTCACATATGTGAAATTCAAATTTACATGTGTGAAATTCAAATTAGCCAATCAGAACTTCACCCCACTCCATAATATTTCAATTTCACACACAACCAAGTCATTAAATTTAACAATTTAACTGCATCATAGAGACCGTTGACTGATCCGGTCAGAATTCGAAACACTAGCTACTTACGCGAATGTGTTATCAAAATTCGTTAGATCCAAATTGTATGTTATTATTATTGTGGTAAATTATTTATAATCCATACACACAAAATTACAGCGTAACATGATGTCCAGAGGACAACATGTTGGCGCGAGAAGCTTTCTTTAATTGATGGGATGATTGCTCTTTCATATTCACAACGTCTTTTGAAGATAAACTTTCACTGTTTGCCCTATTAAGTCAATCATTATCTCAAACAATGAATGACTCAGGTAATTAGGTCGTGTAGAGTATGACGAATGAAAGTATCTTTTTTGTTAGTATTTGCAACTTTTAATATAGGCAGTGGAAGAAAGCTGCTGTATTTTCGGGATCGCATTTGTTAAAGGAGAAATTAAAGGATTCGTTAACAGTTTAGTGCCATATTGCATGGTTTTTTTTCTTTATTCTATAAATCATATAAATGATCAATAATGTGATTCTAAATCAGATTGGACTTTACGCTTTTGTAAAGAACAAATTTATTGGGAAAGTGTGCCCTCAAAATTGATGCTTCTAGAAATAAATAAATTCTATTTTTGATGTAATTAAATTTTCTTCCCGTTTCTTTTTTCATGCTTTATTTAAACACTTTTTTGTTACTGTTTCCATCTAAAAAATACCGTTCTCGTATTGACCATTTCCAGGAAAATATGTTATTATATAGCCTTTTTAATCTAAACGAATCAAATTAAAGTTTGGTTACTGCATAGTAGTTACATAAATAAGTCCAAAAAAGAAATAATTCTTTGATTTCGGAGTTATTAATATTGTCTATAAATATTAATAAAATAAGTCTATGAGAGAAACTTTATCCTATTTATTCGATATGAACAAAGGAGCTATTCCTTCTCTACTCAACCAAAGAAAGAAAGTGAAATTAAGTTTCTTTGCTTTATTGTCACTTCTTCCACTTGCAAATGCACTCATTATTGACGAAGAGTATAACTCTGAAGAGGATGTTTATGATGCAATTATCAACACATTCTTTCCAGTATTTTTTGTCATTTTGTTCAATGTTTCAGGGAAGACTGGACGCATCAAAAATGTAATGTTACCATTACTGGATGACTTATTATATAACACAGTCACTTGGATGATTCCGCTGGTAGTCTCTTTGGTCTATTATGATTTGTTGAGTATAAAGATATTTTCATTTGTAAACATGGCTTTACATGTAACTTGCGCAGTAGCCGCGATAATTAAGAATGATACAGTTGAAAATGTTATTGATGATGATGAACTTGATTCTTCTACATTTATCTCTTTGTTTTTGATATTTTTCCCAGCGATAGTCATTCCAATATTCTGGATTGTTGTTATTACAACTAGACATCTTTTTGATCCAATTAGTTTGGTATTCCTTACATCATTTGGGATGTTGTTGGCTACAATATCCATTACTTTTGCACCACTTTATGAATTAGGGAGAATAGGTGATTCGAAGTTTTTTAGAATATTATTATATCCTGGATGGTTTTATCTCCCAAATATTCTGCAAACATTATTTATTGTGTTAAAATGGCCAATCGATTTTTACTTTGTCAAGGCATGCATATTTATACTGGTTCTCTCTTTAACAAGAAATGTGTCATTCTTTACAGAGAAGGAACCAGCACCTGGTGACTTTCTGGCTACTTCAACAACATACACTCAATGTTTACTGCGCGAATTAATAGATGAAGCGTTAGAGGACGAAGAAAATAAAATAAAAGATGAAAGTGATACTCAAAAAGAAATAATCAGGGAAATGAGCAAATCAATGGCCGAAATGAAAAAATCAATAGCCGAAATGAAAGAAACTCAAAAGAGTGAAAGTCAAAAGTACGAAACTTTAAAGGAAGAAATGAAATCAATGGCTGAAAGGATAAAATAATGATGATAATTTAACATCAGTTTTCTTTTAGAAAGGACTATTATGCTATGTGACTTTGTTACTAACAGTATATTTATTTATTTACTATTACATACATTATTACATATAGCAAAAATTTAATAATGATATCGTTACTTAATAAAAACATACTGAAAATAAATCTTTTTTTTTCCTGGAATGATCAATATTAACAACCTTTTACAATTCTATATAATGGAAAACAGCAATAACAAAAAAAAATCTAATTGCAAGAAAGAGAAACCAAGAAATTTCTCCAGCAGGCGAGTTTGTAGAAAAATATTATTTTTTAGTTTTTTAAAATTAAAATCAGTTCAAGTATCTTTTTAAGATTAGACAATATTATTATAAACTTTATTATTATTCAATAAGTTATATGTAAAAATATTAAATAATAATAATAATAATAATAAATTAATTCACATTTTTTCTTTATTTTAATAATAACTTTTCTGTCATTTTAGTCCTTAAATTTGTTAAATTCATTAATTGAACCAATGAATCTTCCATTTCATCTATATCCATAATAATACCATCTAAAGGTTGAGTTTGTTGTTCGATTTTACACAACTTGGATAAAAATGAATCATTCAATTGATAAAGTCGTTGATCTTTCTCAGGCTAATAAAAAACAACAATTTTAAATAATTAGCAATTAATTAATATATCTATATATGAATACTCTAATACTTACATCCCAATAGTTTGTTGAATTAGTTGAATTAGTTGAATTAGTTGGATTTAATGATCTAAGGTTATCTCTAATCAATTCATTATCTATTTCAACCACATATTCTGGTTCTTCTTTCAGTAAAGGATGAAGCTGTTATTATATTATTGTAATAATTACAATAATCAATGTTATAATTATTTGGGTGAGAGATATGTGAAAAATAACACTTTTCCATTATAACTTCAATCAATTCCAATCAATAATTAATTACCTTTGATCTTTGTATTTTTTTATATCTGTTATTTACTGCTTTTTTATCACTTTTGAATCTTGATAAAGCTTTAGTGTCATCAATTAAAAGTCTAAATATAATAATTAATTTGATGATTATTAGAATATAATATTTATATGATAAAAATAACGATAATATTATTATCATACAATTTCTCATGTTTAAGATGAACTTCCATTTGATTTAAATGTTCCGTTTCTTGTAAAGCTCTCAATTCCAATTTTTCCTATAAAGAAAACAATTTAATAAGTAAAAATAAAAATTTCTTGAAGCAATTATATTTTAGAAAATGTACAAACGTTTTGTAATTCAAGATTCTTATAGTTTAAGCTTTTCAATGAATTTGATAAAGGCACAGGCTCCAACTTTTCATCGATTCTTAATTATTAATAATTGATGATATAATTAATACACAATTAAATAAATAAATAATTAATTGTATAAATCGTATATTCAATTTACTTTGTTTTCAAAGTAGCAAGTAATGGTTCTAGCTCATCTCTTTCCTCTGCATTATCAACATCATTAAGTGTATCACTTTTATACATTAATATCATATATTGTTATTATTATTATGTATTATATATATTTTACATAAATAAACATGTAAGCTTACGAAATGCAATCGCCTAAAATATTTTTTATACAATCTATAAATTTGTCATGTTGTTGTTGTTGTTGTTGTTGAGCCATGTTGTATATATTAATTATGAACTGAAAAGCGCGTACAGACGAATTATATAAAAGGAATATTGATCGACATCCAATTGTTATGTAAATAGTGCTGTAGTGATTTTCAATATCGTGCGACATACATTCTAATTTTTTCTTTCAAAATCTTCAAAATAAAAATTCGTAGTCATGTTTATACCTCGAGTAATTAAAAGACCAAGCGCTATTCCTGTGAATAAAAATAAAAAAGCTAAAATAATTAATACAGAAAAAGTAAATTCTTCAATGCCAACTACTGCCACCATTACTATTACCACAAGACCATCGCCAAAAAATACTTCAGAAGAAGAAGAAGAACCTGTTAAAGAATTTAGTCAGCAACAACGTGACGCTTTAGTAGACGAACCAACTTGTATTATATGGTACTATTGATTTCCAATATTTTATCATAAGAAGAAAATAAAAAATGGTAAATATTTGAACTGAAATTTCATTTTCAATTTATTTTGTTTAGTGGAAAATATGGCGAGTATATTTGTGATGAAACAGATCATGATGTCTGTAGTTTGGAATGTAAAAAAATAGATATATATAACAACAACAATAGTAATAACAATAGTAATAATAACGAAGGTAATACAATACCAGCAGTTCAATTACTTCAACTACAGTCAAATTCAAACGTTTTTCATTCACAGCTTACTGCATACACTTCACATTCACAAATTAATAAACTGTCCGAGGCTCAAATATCACAAATATTAACAAAAAATAAAATAATCACGCACGGAAAAAATGTTCCTCGTCCTATACTAAGTTTTACACATTGTGCCATGCCACAAAAATTATTTGAAAATGTTCAACAAGCGGGATATCTAAATCCAACGCCAATACAAATGCAAGCCATTCCAACTATTTTGAGTGGGCGTGACGTGTTAGCAAGTGCTCAAACAGGATCTGGAAAAACATTAAGTTACTTAATACCTGTAATAGTACATTCATGGTCATTATCACAACTTCATAATAGTAAGAATGGCCCATATGCTATAATTATGGCACCGACAAGAGAATTATGTGCACAAATAGAAGAAAAGGTAAAGGCTTTGGTAAAAGGCCTGATGAATATGAAGACTGTTCTTTTAGTAGGCGGATTGCCGATGCCTAATCAGATACATCGACTGAAACAAGGTGCTCAAATAGCTGTTGCAACACCGGGAAGATTGCTGGATTTATTAAATCATATTAACAATGAAGATATATCATTGTCAATGAATAATGTTCATGTTTTAGTGTTAGACGAAGTAGATATGATGTTTAAAATGGGATTCGAGAATCAAGTGATGGAAATAATTGGTAATAAATTAACTTTGGAATGTGGAAAACGCCAAACCCTCATGTTTTCAGCTACCATTCCAACAAACATCGAGATACTTGCAAAGTCATTGTTGAATGATCATATTAGAATCACAGTTGGGAACATTGATGATAATGAGAATAGTGAGATTAGCTCCAAAGATAATCGGCCCAAGAATGCTTCAACTACAAAAGGCGTGATAAGTATACCAGTTAAACAAACAATATTATGGGTGGAAAATAAATCAAAAAAGAAACAATTATTTTCGATATTGAATGACCCAAAATATTATCGTCCACCTATTATTATATTTGTAGAGTCAAAGATGGGAGCGGATTTATTGTCAGGTGCGATAGAAAAAAAATGTTTTGCAAAAACAGCGAGTATACACGGCGACAAACCACAGGAAGAAAGGATTCAGATATTGAATTCATTTCTGGAAGGAGAATATGAAATTATAGTATCAACTGGTGTCTTGAGCAGAGGGTTAGATTTGCCTAATGTTAAAATGGTGGTGAACTTTGATATGGCAGTATCAATTGATGAATATATTCATCAATGTGGAAGAGCAGGTGGATACACTCAAAATCATCAAAATCCGGGTTGGGCAATAACTTTTATCAATGAGGTATTGTTTAAATTTAAAGAAAAAATTTTCAGACCATTTTTATTACAAAAAAAAAATTATTTAAATAATTTATAATTAATTATATTATGTATTTGCATGTAACAAAAAAAAAATTGAAAAAGGACCATAAACATCATTTCAAAGAATTCGTTACAATGTTAAAATCACAACCTTCCGGAAGAGTGACACCACTGCCTTCAAAACTACTTAATCATGGATATACTCTATATGGAAATAACAATAAAACATCCAACAAGCATAAATAATTATTGATTATCATAATTTAAATCCTGAATGGATAGATGCAACACCGAAAGTCAAGTCTTCCCAGCCATTATCAACAATTGAGAATCTGGCTGTTTTTATCATATTAGCAAATGTTTGTTGTGAAGGAAATTTCTGGATACTTTCCACCAAATATTGATAAGAGTTTTTGTCTGATGCTATTATTTCACCTAACTTTGGAACTACTTGAAATGAATATAGATTATAAAAACTATATTTATTTATTTATTTATTTATTAGTAATCTATTAGTAATTTGATTTTGAAAAAGAAAGATAATATAAATAAAATAAATTACACTCACGTTGAAATAATAGGATTATTTACTTTACCAAATTCTAAACACATGAATCTTCCGCCAGGTTTTAACACTCTAAATGCTTCACTTAGCACCAATTCTATGTGAGTGCAATTGCGTATACCAAATGCAATCGTGTAGACATCATATGAATTGGATGGTATAGATGAAAGTTTTTCAGCATTTCCTAATTCAAAAGATATTTGAGATTCTTTAAAAAATATATTACTATTAGAAAATTTGAAAAGAGTTCAAAAAACAATTAAAAATTAATTGTATTTTTTGACTTTACGGTTGATGTGAGGTATTTTAGAAAATCTTTGTTTGCAAACTTCCAACATTTTAGAATTGATGTCTAACACTGTGACCTTTGCAGTTGTATCACCATGAATTTCTTTACAATAATTAAGAAATCCCATGGCAATATCACCTAAATTCAACAATTTAATAATTATAATTATATACTTATTTTAATGCAAAAAAACATTTATTTGTTATATTGACCTGTTCCACCTGCAACATCCAACAATTTTGTACCAGGACCAGGAGCCATTTCACGTATGAAATGATCTTTCCATAATCGATGAATCCCAAGACTCATAGCATCATTCATCAAGTCATATTTTGATGCAACATTTGTGAAAACTTGTCCAACTTTTTAAAAAAAAAACAATTAATTGGAATTGAATTGAATTGATGGGTGAAAATTTAAATTATTCAACAAGCACCTAATTTATCTTTGAGAGATTCTGGAACTGTTTTAAAGCCAAAATGTGTCACTGGTTCGTCAAGGTTTTCTTGCTTTTGTTTCTTCTCTTGTTGTTGCTGCTCATGATAGTATTGTTGTTTAATGATAATGTTATAACTTACCAACTTATTATTATTACCAACATAAGAGTTGTTGATTAAACTCTTAGAGTTGAATTTATTTGCTGTAATTAATAGATTTTGTGGAACTAATTTTTTAATCATTTTCGAAATAAAAAATTAGATCGACAAGCCAACTATCCGAGAATTTTTTTTTAGTATTAGAAATAAAAATCGGTCGGCCACAAATAGTAGCAGTATAATAACCAATAACTAAATGGTCCTAAGTTAACGTTAGACAATTATATTTATATCCTTTATTTGGGCTGATTAATTGCGAAGCAAGAAGAAGAAAATAATGAGATAGTTTACAAATTGTGTCATAAAAAACCAATGGAATCAGGAAATAAAATTAAGATAATACTAATGCAGAAAAAGAAGAATTCCTTCTCGGTTCAATTATTCCAGAGTCAAAATATTTCCTTGCGCTTAGTAATCATTTCTAATCGTGGGGTGAGAGTGTGTGTTTTCGTATATATGTTTAGCCATTGGTTTATTGTTTTTCAGTTTTATTCGTCTGAAAGCGTCGATCGATCGATGGTTGATACTTGATTAATATAACTCGAGACACAAAACACAGAAATATCGATTTTGTATTATCTTTTTTTTTAAAAAAAAAAAAAAATAACCGAAATTCCAAAATTTGAATTATTATTTGATGAATCTTACAAATAAATCATTCAAGATTTTAATTTTGTGTTTTTACATATGTTTTTTAATTATTAAATAACAATACGACAATAAAGTTTTAGTTTTTAAATAATACCAAATATAGTATAAAGACTTGGTGGGTTATTTTGACAGATGTCACACACATCATCATTTTATGTTTTATAATTAATTGTTTAAATTTTTGTTTGTTAAACCAATTAATTATTGGATTGTTCTAACCGTATTCATAAACATCATAAACATTGACTTTTTTAATAATAAATGCTATATGGAATAATATTTCAAGATCTAATCTTATTATTTATATACATATATGCTATTTATTATTAAAATTTTCATATTCATATTCATTTTCATTTTGATTAATAATGATCACATATAAATCAATAAAACAAATATAATATATATAAAGGCATGACAAAAAAATTTTAAGATTTTTTCCATGATTGATTTTTATGTTATGAATAAATATAAATTAAATATAAATAAGATGTCAACTAAGCCGGATAAACGTAACGAACCCCAACCCGTTTCAACAATACCCGTCACTTTAATAACACCAGCACCCATAAGCATCAATAGTTCATATTTGTCCCAAATTCCAGAATCGGAATTAGACAATTTTAGAACTGCACTAAAAGAACAGGCCAGGAATAAAACATGGGAGACTTTATATAAGATTGAGGAAGAGATTAACAAAATGATCCGTGACTTTCCAGATGTCAAAACGGCCTTAACAATATGCGAATTGTTGCAGCCTTCGTCAAATTCAAGGGCGAAAGACACACCAAGACCTCAGAATCCTTTTATGCTTTATCGTAAAGATTTATCAAAGGTCATTTCTAAAATTTACAAACCGATCTCTGTGGGTCAGTCGTCACGCTTGGCCTCGGAACGTTGGAAGCTCTTAGATAGTGACTCAAAATTGCTTTGGTCCAGAATGTCTAAAGTTGCAAAAGATTTACATACCGGTTTGTACCCTGATTATAAATATACGCCTGTTAGAAATCATAAAAAATCGGACAAAAGAAAAGGTCGTCGTTGTCGTGCTTCTGTCACTTCCAACGCTGCTTCTACTATTGATTCTCCTCCCATAAGTGCTCCTCCCATCATTACTAAAATATCGAGCCCAAACATTTTACCAATAATCAATAATTTTGGTGACAATGACTATAATAATTTTAATAGTAACAACAATAATAGTAATATTAATGAAAACTTTATAAATTCATTCGAGTCTGATTTTTCCCTAAACAATAATTTGGACTATGAAAATATATTTCAGTACATGATTAATAATACTGATAATAACGCTGATGCCGGCACCAGCGCTATTACCAACGATAATGACAATGACAGGCCAACAAAAGCCAACGTAAATTTCGATCATCCTGCTCTTAAAGAGGCTAATGGTCCGGCGCGCGTAACGAAAATTAAAAACACTAAGCTAAAGAAAAATAATTTGAGAAATCGAACCACAGATGATGATTTCTTATTTACAAATAACTTTATAACCCAGCAGCAACAACAGGAACAAGTGGAACAGCAGCAACAACTTCAACGAACCCAACAAAATATTTTTTATCCCTTTTATGGTTCTATACAAGAAGCACCCACAACTGATGCAACGTTAATAACATCACCGTTGTTATCATCATCACAATCTGCCACAGCATCACCAACCTTAAGCTTTAAAAGAAAAAGAAGATGTTCCAAATCTTCTATAACTCAAATATTATTTAACCCTTATTCATCATTGTTATCAACTCAAATCATGCCACAATTATCTCAACAAGCATCTACTTTTCTAACTCCAAACCAATTTAGTTCGAACCCATCATCATCGTCATCATTGTTGCCTATAACACCATCTACAGCAACAATAATAGACGAGCATCAATATTTGTCAAATTATGCAATTATGAATAACACATTAGCAATGGAAACAGCAACAGTTGCGAATAATTTTAATCACAATTATGAAGACATGATTTTTCATGAATACTTTAATGATAATAATGATTCATTATCGTCAACAACCACAACCACAACCACTACTCTAATTGATCCATGTTTATTGGATGAAACGGCAGATTCATTATTTAATTTAAAATTAGATTTTTTAAATTAGATCATTATGTTGTATATTTAATTTAAAATTAAGCTTTTGATCGTCATATATTATGTATATGTATAATAAGATATTTTTTATATGTAATAAATAGAATCTTCAAATAAAAAAATATAAACTTGTGAATTTCAATTAATAGTTTTGCATTCGAAAAACATTATTTTATCATTATTATCATTATTATGTTTGTTATTATTATTATATTACAAAAAATAAATTAAATTATATATTACAATACATATGTTTCAATTCAACCTACCTCTAAAATAACAGTTATTATTATTTATTAAATGAAAAAATTAAAATTACATTTAAAATTAAAAATTAAAAAGTCTTTCTCCTCTTCAAAAAATTTAATATTCTTCACCACTGCTCAATTCACCAGAAACTAGTTCACCACTAACAAATTCTTGAAGACTCACTCTGCCCTCTTCTTCAGGTGATAATGGTGCATATGGACAAAATGATGACTCGTCATCATTTTGCTCTTCCACACCATCAACAACATCACGTGAAATACAATAGTCACCTGACTCTGTACGTTTTCTTCGATCAGTACCAGTACCTCCACGATGATGAAATGGTGACATGGGAAAGTCATGTATCCCGTACAAACTAACCCTAGCTTCTGCCAAATACTCTGAATTGTCTCCCCAATATCCCACTGTACTAAGTCTGCAATCACTTGATGTTAATGCTTGGTTAAGTTCCACCGTGTCTTCAATATTAATTGGTTTAAATGGATTACGAGGTAACCATAATTTGCGATTCAAGGCTTTAACTAGGTTGGGATGTGTATAAGTTTGGTATTGTGATGTCTCATCTTGAATCAGCTTTAGACTTGGATCGTGTGTGAAATGTGCCGGGTGTGGTGCACACCTTAAATTTCCTCGGGATGGTAATCTTTGTGCATTTGCTGGTATCTTCTTTGGTGGTATATTCTTTGGCGGCAAAGTTATCGTCGTAGGATTATTGTTATTTTCTCCAGTAAAGTTAGCACTACCATCATTACTGTTGTTGTTATCGTCCTTAATAACATTTTTAGAGTCTTTACTGGCGCTACCACCATTATTCGACTTATTACTATTAGAATCATTATTTATTTCAACAATATCGGATTCATCACTATCATAAGGTTCACTAACAATAATTTTTCTATTATCAATATTACTATTGTTGCTACTGTTGATACTTTGTGCTAATAAAACTTTTTTACTGTTGATGGAATCTACTGATTTCTCATCAATATTGCTTAAACTATGACTTGACAGTTTTTTCTCTCTCATTTCATCTTTAGATGATAATTGTTTTTCTGTTGAATTTTTGCTTTTCATTGATTTATTATCATCACCTTCATAACCATCATTATAAACACCGTCATCACCATCACCAATGCCACTTGATATAGATTTTTCTTCTTTTTTATCATTAACAATAAAATCACCTTTACTAAAATTTTCTTTTTGAGACGATTCATTGTTCATAGTAGAATCAGTATCTTTACTGGCTCTTAAACGATGAAATTTTGTATTAACACCATCATCGGTAACAAGATGATCTTCTTGTTGTAGTTGTAGTTGTTGCTCTTTATTATTTTTTAATAAATAATCTTCATGTTTTTCTGATATTTTTGAAGTCTTTTTTAATAAATTGTGATCACGTTTATCATTATTCTTGTCATTATCATCATTGTTGTGATTATTATCATTATTGTTATCGTTGTTGTCATCATTATCATCATTATTGTTATCATCGCCATCATTATCGTTATTAACATTATTATTATTGCTTGATTCATTGTTTAATTTAGAATCTAAAGCTAAATAATGTGTTCTTGAATAAAATGTTTTATGGCAATAATACTTAAAAAACACTGTGCCTGCCAAAAGTGGCACCAAAAGAGTTCCTATAGCAATGGCTTTATTGAGCCATAACACACCAAGAACCGTCAACTGAAACACAACCAATCCATCGGTGGTATAGCGAAAAACACTTTTATAGAATCTACCACCTGCTTCATAACGACGCACATAACAATAACCGAATTGATATTTGAATACCAGAAGGGCAATTCCAAAATAAAGCACAGAAAATGGTAATACGAGTGGATTAATGGTGGAATAGGTGATGGTGATTACTAGTATTAAAATATGATTTGGGTAATAGTAGTAAAATTGAAATGAATGAGGATGTGTCACTCGTTGGAGTATTCTCGGTGTTGTGGATACAAATCTTGATGTTAACAATATATGAAGAAAGATTTGTGGAACTACTTGAACTAATTCAAAACCGTGAGCGCAAGTATTGAAAACTATATAATTTATAAAAAATGTTGCTCCCTAATGATACGATATAATTTTTTTTTTGGCCCAAATATTAAAATATGTAAATATAAATAATTTCTTATAAACAAACAAAATAAAGAAAAAATACGATTGTGCAATTATTTTTTAAAAAAAAATACCTGTGGTAACGTATTGGCCAAAGTTTCCAAAATACTTGCAGGAGAATTGAGTATATTAAAGATTGATTCTAAAAAAACTTTTCCTAGCAAGAATACCACAATTACGTTAAAGAATGAGAAATAATAATATCGAACCAATACTGCATTTTCTAATTCTGAATATGATGAAAAACATTCTTGCTTGGATAATTCTATATGTTTTTTTAAAAGAGAATGAAATAAAATATTAACATAAAATATATACAAATACAAATACATAAATATGAATATAAATATAAATATAAATGTTAACTAACCCATTAAAATCCAAGGTAACATGGCCATAAAGATTGATACTAAAACTGTCGGTAATACATTCCGAAGTAGCGTATGTATTAAAGGTGAAGCTTTTATGAGTACAGATAAAAATGTAATTTTTTCCGCAAGTGAATCAACAGAAGCAAGACCCAAAATTCCAATAATAGGGAAAAGCCAAAATATTATTAAAACCCTAAATAATAAATAAATAAATAAACAAATAAACATATTAATTAGTTTTTTGACATTTACAAATAAAATGTGAATAAACAACAATTTACCAAACACAAGCATTTACAATAAAATATCTAATCATTTTTTCACGAAAAGTCATTATCAAATTACTCCAAAGTAAGTCTCTTGGCTCAGGAGCCATTTTAACAGTGCAAGTATGAGGTGTAGAACATATGATACTTTGGGCACACATTTGAGCACTTATATGATCCCGAAATGTTACAAAACCAGTACTAGTAGCTTTGTATGGTAGACCAGTTACAGAAAGGGATCTTAGTCCTGCAATACTTCTGTCCAAGAAGTTAAATTTCCTGATAAAATGATCAATGGCATAAACAGTTTTGCCACCACTAAAAAATCCACTTTTCGGTTGAAATTTATCAAGTGAAGATTTGGGAATGCGCGACAATGATTCCCATATTGAAAGTTGATGACCATAACCATCCTCATAATCCATAATATCTTCATTGGTATATGCACTAGTTTGTGAATTAAACCTTGATTGTCTACTTGTTATATAATTGCTATTACGATTATTAAACCTACTACTATTATTATGATTATTATTGTTATTATTACTACTGTCGTTGTTGTTGTCGTCATTATTATTATTATTTTCAGCACTAATGACTACACTATTAATATCTTCAATAATAGCATTGGTATTTTCACGCTTTCTTTTTCTTATGTCAACCTTTTCTATAATAGATTGAATTCTTTGATGTTCTCTTGTTTCACCAGATTCAACTGTCAAAGCTGGAACGTCATTATCTTTATTACAGCTGAAAATTTTAAACCAAAATCCATTTCCAAATAATTTTCTTCGTTTAATAAATCGATAAACATTTTTTGCAAGTTGTATATGAGCTCTTTCTAGTAATAATAGTGCCTTTTCTCTCCTTTCTATTCTTCTATCTAATTTACCGGTATGTCTCACCATTCTAGCAGATTCTACAGTACCTATGCACAATCTATTAACATATTTTTGAAGTTCTTCTTCTGATCTTAGCTCTTCCGGTATTCTTGATATCATGACAGTTCGTACACTGATATCACCACTATCAACTTTCTTTAAAAGATATTCTTTATGCAATTTCATATAAGAGTAATAATTCTTGTATAAGAGGTACATCCAACTAATACTAACTATGTACGTACATATCATATGAGCCCATAATCGATTCAGATCAAATTTAATGTTTTTAACAGAAAAAATATCTACGTTGTTTCTTTCTTCAGTGCTAGACGCACTAGCTGTGTAATTTATGGGCAAAAGTATTGGGCCAACTAGTAATGAATTAAATAATAAAAATTGAAATGCCATTCTCAAGAATCTTATATACATCAATGCATCTAATCCAACGTTTGTAAGATAAAATTTATCATCCAATCGATATGCAGCTTTTACCCAAGAAAATAATCCTGGTGGCACTGGTGGCGACGGATTTCTTTATGATAAGAAATTTAAATTTAAATATTTATTTAAAATAAATAAATAAAAATAATTATATTATTTATTATTATTATCGTTATTATTATAAATTTACTTGATCAATCTTGTTCTTGGAGTATATAAATATTGCATAGATTTTCTACGCCTATTCCATTCAAATTGTAATAAACAATATAAAGAAATTGCTGAGGAAATGCCAAATTGTGTAGCTAAACCCAAAAATTCTGGCGAAGAACTACGTACAGTATCCAAAGTAGCCATTCCCCCAATTAATTTTTTTATATTTATTTATATTTGACTTTTTGAAAGTTGTTATATTATCTGGTTTTTTTTTAATTAATCGATTGATGAAATATTAAAAATCATTTTTTTTGGAAAAAGAAAAAAAATATTTAAATTACAATTTCTATAAATAACAAATGGGGGCTGTTCTAGGAAAACACGGGTTAGAACTGATTTTTTTTTTTTGAGATATTTGCAAAAACAATTTTTCA